CTCTCTTTCTCTCTTTCTCTCAAAATAAAAAAATAAAGTTAAAAAAAAGATAAAAATAAGAAAAGCATTGGGCAAACAAACATTTATATATATGTTGCTTTCAAAATCATTTAAACTGTAGATGAGAGAATGACAAAGAAGGCAGAGACCTATAGGATTATCATGTCCAACCCTCTCATTTCTCAGATGAAGAAGAACCTGGAACTCCGGTTGCCATGCAACCACTAGAAATAGAGCTAAGACACTCTTAATAATGCTATCTGCTCTTCTATATAGAAGAGTGCATATAGAAGATATGCACTGAATGTAATTCACAAAGAACTTTCCCAGCCATTATTTTCTCTGAGCCTCACCAACGCTACATGATTCCACAGAAGGGAAGACTGAGGCTCGCAAGATATGGATGATTTGCCTACATCACCTGGCTAGTAGCTCCAAATCCCAAACCCCATATCCTTTCTACTAGCTGGCACTGTTATCCAAACCCTTCCTGACAGCCTAGGCCGTGGGTTCCCCAGGTTTAAGCACACAGCCTGCCAAGTACTAAGCACTCAAAAATTAGGTGAGTGAATACCCAAAACTAGGAGAAAGCTATGCAAATCGTGGTTGATCAACAAAATACAAAAAAACAAAAAACAAAAACAAAAAAACCCCGACAAGGCTTTTTAAAAAGAAAGATGCTGATAAGCTGAAGCCCACATTAGATGAAGAGTTGCTGAACCTCACATGAGAGCCACAAATCTCCTACACCACAGAGAAAGGTCTCCACCAATTTGGCCTCAATTACCCAGAGCTGCTTCACCTGACCACCCTACCTCCAATCACTTCCTAACTCCTCTCAGCCAGTCTCAGGAACCTGCAGGGCTCCCTCCTGCCCACAATGCCAAATCCAAATTCTGTGCCTCTTGGCTTTCAAGGCCCTACCAGCTGGCCAATTCTGCTATTTCCTGAATTACTCACTGGCCCTGACCTTTTCTGGATTCTTTCCTCCACCCCACAGAACCCGGTCTGCTTTATGCTGCCAGATCTAGCCTTGACTCCCCTCGGCTCCAGGTGAAAATTGGTCCCTTTCCCCACTTCCATCAACCCCAGGCATAAAGGGCAACGTGGACTTGCGGACATTCATCTGAACCTACGTGATAACCAAGTTCACTAGAAATAGGCACAATGAACACGGAACCCCATTGACAGCAGTCTCTCATTTGGGTTTTCCAGTATTGCAGGAATTGCCTTACGCAACTTATCCAGTCCCTTTTTTGGCCTGAGGGGTCTTGAGTTCCTAGAGCTCTTCCTAAAACAGCACACTGGAGGCAACCAGGTGAGCCTAGGCACTGATGCCATACCTACCTGTCCTTCCCATCCAGACCCCACCCCAGATCTGTCCCAGGAGTCAGGACCCAGCTTCATTATCAGGTACGTTCCTTCTTCTCTCAGGGACCCAGTTTGTTTCATATGTGAAAAGGGCAGAAGGGGGTGGCCAAACTGAAGAGAAAATGACGTAAGAATAACTTCCCAGTTATTAAAGGCTTTCCCATAAAAGTTACCAAGTATATCCAAAGCCCCTTCTTGCTGGGACACTGCAAACTGCCATAACACATACAACCTTGGCCATCCCCTAGATTAGTGTGCACAGACTTACCTCACTACAACATCCCCGAGTTGCTGTTAAGCAGTCAGCTCCTGGTGAAGGGCATGTAGTTGTTTGGAGTCTTCCACCAGAATGAACACTGCTGCAAAGAACAATCTCATATAAGCATTTATCTTTGTTCTGGGATTATTTCTCAAGATAGATTCCTGAAAATGGGCTTACTGGCTTAGAGGATGCACGCATCTTATATTCCAATACTTACTAGTTGAAAATTTTACGTGGTAATTCTCAAACTCCACTGGTATTTAGGCTTCACCTGGGGAATCTGTGTACAAGGTGCATCCTGACACACAACCAGTCTCCTTTTACCTCCCAGCCTTTCCCCTTTCCCTCCACCTCCGTCTCCGCCTCCAGGAAGTCTGGGGAGGGGTTCCTCCAGCTGCTTTGTTATCCAGTTCCCAGGTGGCCCTGCTGCGGGAGGAAGGAGTTGAGGCCTTCTATTTGTCCCAGTGCACCTCACCTATAGCACAAGCCCTGGGAAGCCACAGCCCAAGGGGCTGCCACTGGCATAGTTTGCAGGGAGGTCTATGGGCCTTGGCCCAGGTCCCAGTGGCTTCCCCCAAATGGGCAGTCTGGCTCTCACACACTGGACCACAATCCCTGGCACTGAGTGCTGGGGACAAAGTCCCACCTCTGGGCTCACCTGACTTCATGCATTTCCCCTTCCAGGACCCTCTTCTGAAGGTCCCTGCCCCACACATGTCTTTGAGCTTAATGACCAGGGCCTAGTAGTTTCACCTTTATCTAAGATTCCCTAAGCCTCCCTTCTCTCAGAGGCAGTGCACCCACCATTTTCCCCAAGAAATCATCTGGGGCCTCCACACTGGGCCTCAGTCTCCCCATCCGTGAAATGGCGAGCAGTGGCACTGACATTTTGAGTGCTGCTGTAAGGAAGGCAGTGTGGCCAACTAGATTCTAAGCATTTGAGGCAAGTCTGGCTTCAGCGGGGAAACCAGGTGTGCTTCCACAGTCATTTTATCAGCATTCAGATGGGCGTAAGGCCTATTTGGAAAAAACTCGATTTTTGTTTTCAGATTTCTCCTCTGCAAAAGTGTAACGAGGAGCCAAAGCCGTTCATTGTAAGGCTGCTCAGGTGTTCTAGATACCTGGGACCAGATGAGGAACCAGATACCTGGGACCAGATGAGGAACCAGAGACCCAGAAAAGGGCTTGCCCAGTTTTAGGCCGACTCTGTGCTGCTGGGTTCTGGGGGATACGGAGTCTGGTGGGAAAACCCAGGGGGTCTGGTCAACAGGCATTTCACTTTGTGGTACACAGCAAAGAGCAGACAAGAGAGTGCTGGCGCCGTGAAGAAGACCGAAAGGAACAAGCAGAGGAAAGAAACCAGCGAGGAGCGCTGGGGGCTTCCAGTCAGGTCGGCCGCAGTGGGCTACGGGCTCGGCTCCACTGTCCGATCTGCCTGGGCTGAATGACACTGGCTGACTGTGTGACAAGAAGCAAGTCTTGAGCCTCTGCTGCTCATGGGTAAACCAGGAGCGGAAACTTTAACAGCACCAACCCCATAACCCAAGGATTAGACAGGATGGTACACACCAAAGGCCTGGCTCGCCACAGCTGTTACAAACACTCCTTAAGCGCTGTTTTTACCTCTGGCCGCCACTCGTGTCCTAGACCCAGGAGCTACGTGCTTTGGGGTTGTGTCCCAGGCAGCCTTCTACCCGACACTAGGCGCCATTGAGGGGAGAAGAGGCGTCGCATTTGGAGCCAGGTCCTCAGCAGCTGGGGGAAATCCCCAGCCTCAGTTTCCTCTCGGTGCAATGGGAACAATCCCACCGCCGGCGGGAGATGTGGCGGAGGGAGCGTTCTCACACGCGTCAAGTTTTGCATGACTTCTCCCCTCGGTAACGGCCCCCACTCCCAGCGCGGAGCACACAGTAGGCGCTCCGGAAACGCTCTGCGAAAGGAGGAACGGGCCACTTCCTGCCCCCAAGCGGACTCTCCGGAGGCTGGGTTCCCACTCCTCCTCCTCAGAGGCCATGTGGCATTCCTGAGGGTGGGGGTGGGCGCAGGAAGAAGGTGCCCTCCCGGCCCCGCCCCCTCCGGGAGCGGTGGGCGGGACGAAGCCCCTGGCCGCCGACGGCCCGCCCCGCGGGAGGTGGGCGTAGCTGGTAGCGCTCAGCACAAAGTTTGTTTTCTCTCTCCGGGCGGGTGGGGGAGGGCGAGGAAAGCGCGGGGCGGGGGGGTGTGTGGAGAGGGGATCTGACGTCAGGCCGCGAGGTGCTTTCCAGCCGCGAGCTGTCAGGCCGAGTGTCAGGCCCGGCAGGTACGCGGCGCGCTCCCCCGGCGCCCCCCGCCCCCTGCCAGGACGCCCGGGACCGAGCCTGGGGCCTCGTGGAAGGAAAAGCCGCTCCGAAAAGTCAGTGCGGGGCGCAGGAGGGGGACAGAGGCGGGCGGGGGGCGCGCGGACAACTTGGAAACTTTCTTTTTCTGGGCCGGGCGGGGGAGGGGGCGTCGTCCTGGCGCGTGAGATTGTGGGTGTGTGAGCTCGAGTGTTTGTGAGCCCCGACTGCGGGGTGTGAGCAGGGGCCGGTGGGGGGTAATGTCTCACTCCCGCCGGTTGGAAGCTCTCTCGGGGCCCTTCTGGGGGAGCCCAGCTCCTTACGATCCCAGCCTGTGAGAGGGCCGCCCCTACCCCGGGCCAGGGTGAGCGCGCGGGGGGCGGGTTTGTTTGGTTTAAAAAGTGCACGTTGCTAACCGCCGGCAGTGCCCCCCCCACCCCCCGCCGCGGCCGAGCCGAGGAGGGGGCCGTCGAGAGTGACAGCTGCGGGTGGGGGCAGCGGGAAGGGCCCGGGGCTGGGGGGCTGGGGAGCCCGCGCGAGTTCCCCTTTCCTTTGGAACAAAGGAAAGTCTGTCTCGGAGGCATCTGTCACTCCCAGGCGGGCCAAGCGAGCAGGGCGCGTGGGGCCGGCGACCCGAAGAAAGTTTGTGCGCGTCGGGACCCTCGGGCCGGCCGAGCGTGAGCTGAGCCTCCCGCTGGGGAAGCGCTCACTCTCCGGGGCAGGGGGCGGCCAACATGGAGTCTGGGCGCAGGGCTTGGGGGGGGCGGTGCGGAGGTGGGAGCCCAGCCCCCTCCCCTCCCCCTCCGGGCCGAGTTCGGAGCACAAAGCCGAGCGCGCAGGCTCGGCCATCCCCGCGCCCCGAAGAGTCAGCCAGCGCTGAGCGGCGGGGGAAGGGGGTGGGAACCAAACTTTTTCCTGCCCCGGGACAGACACGTGAGTTTTCTTTCTTCCAGAGCCCCTGCCCCACCGGTATTTCGGGCCCGAGGGGGAGCGGGGGCGCCGAGTCTGGCGCGGGGTAGGGGGCTGAGGGGTGCCGGCGCCCCGATCGCAGGCCGATTCCCCGCCGCCCCGGGAGCCATGTGCTCCGACTGGGTCTGGGCCGCGGGGGAGGCTGCGCGCTTTGTGTGAACTGCTGGGAATGCAGCTTGAGTGCGCGGCCGGGGGAGTGTCGGGGCGAGCTGTGGGAGTTGTCAGAAAGTTCGTTCGGGAGTGGCCGCAGGTCGGCGTCGTGGAGTGTGTAGGAGGATGCACCCGGTGTCGTGTCGTGAGGGTGCTGCCACAGGCCGGTTGGGGTAAGAATTGATCGCTGGTGTGATGACGTTTGGAGTTTCCCCAGTCAGAGTTCGTGGGTGGGCGGGTCGGTTGGAGTTTGTGGTAAGGCATATGTCCAGGAATTTGGCTGTGTCGAGGGCACTAGTTGTTCGTGCTGGACGTGGGATTCTGTAAACTGTGTGTGCTGCGTTTGTCGGTGAAAACCAAGGTGGTTCCAGGAGCTCAGCGGTGGTTTGGTGCCTGTTATCTGAGCGCTCTTAAGGAGTCTGCCTGGTGGTGAGGGCGTGTGTGTCTGTCTCGTTGCGGGGGCGGGGAGGGGGGGGTGTTGGAAACATTCCGGATTGTAAGCTGGCTGGGGTGCAGGACACCAGTGGAGAGAGGTCTGTGTAGATTGAAGGGTCATCTCCATGGGCCACCTCTGGAACCCTGCAGACTGGGACTTGGCTGGTAGCCAGGGTGGAATTTGTACAGATAACCCTGAGTAAACTTTTCCTAGCTTGCCAGGGCTGCATCCCTGAGCCCAGATCCCAGCTGCCCTGGCCACTCCGACCTCAGAAATTTGACCTCAGAAAGCAGCTTGTTCTTGGTGTTCTCTGAGGAGTGGCACCTCTAACCAATGCCTGTCTCACCTCCAGGTGGCTTGGCTGGGAGGGTAGACCCTTCCCTCGAAAGCCTGGCCTAGCCAGCCCAGATATCTGGGCTCAGGCCCAAGTGAGGAAACAAAACCTGGGAGATGCCAGAGTCTGTTGGCCCAGCCTGCTGGGTAGCTGTTAAAAGGCTGAGGAGGGAGGAGCCCTGAGATTCTGGCATTAGCTTGCCCTGCAACTTTGGGTTTTAAAATGTAAATTTCTTTTGCATGTGTGAACAAGAAGTTCATCAGGGGGATGAGCAACTGAGTTGGGTTGTCTAGGGAAACACCTTCCTTCATTTTGACAGGTGAAGAGGGGGCTCAAGCGGAGAGAGGAGAGCACACTTGCCAAGGTCACATAGCCAAGATGGGAAAACTAGAGTCCAGCCTTGCTCATTTATCGGGATTTTTGAGGAGTTGATTCATGGACCAAGCCAGGGGCTTAGATGACAAAGGAGAATGTCTGAGACAACTAACAGGGATGACTCAACACTCTCTCTGCATGGTACACAGTAGATGCAGTAAATGTTATATGGATTGCTGTAGGGCCATGGTGATTAACAGGCTTTCCAGACCTGGGCAGGGGGTTTGGGAGGAATTGGTTGGTGATGATGACAAACCTTGGTCCAAGCCATATATCCTTTCCATATCCTGGAGGTGTAATTTTTTTTTCCATAACAGTTTTCTTGGGATGTAACTCACATACCATACAACTTACCCATTTAAAGCAAACAAGTGATTGGTTTAGTATAGTCACAACTATGTAGCTACCACCACAGTCAATTGTAGAACATTTTTATCACCTCAAAAAGAAACTCCATACCCCTTTAGCTAATCATCCTTCTATTCCCCTCCAGCCTCTTCTAAGTATTTCATTAAGTTGGAATCATATGTGTTCTTTGTGACTTGCTTCTTTCACTTAGTATATTTTCAAGGCTGACCCACACTGTAGCATGGATCAGGACTTACAGCTCCTTTTTGTGGCCAAATAATATTCCACTCCATGGATGGACTACATTTTTGCTTATCCATTCCTCTGTTGATGGACACTTGGGTTGTTTCCACCTTCTGGCTATTACAAGTAACATTGCTGTAAACATTTGTGTTGAAGGCTTTGTGTGAACATAGGTTTTTCATTTCTCTTTGGTAGATGCCTAGGAGTGAAATTACTGGATCACATGGTACCTGTTTAAGTTAAGTGGCTTTCTCTGGACCTTGGATTTCTCATTTATAAAATGACGATGATAGTAGGATTTCTCTTAACAAGGGCTTTGTGAGGATCGAATTAGAAGTGTGAAGTACTCAGTATAGAGCATGGAAAACAGACTCCCGTGGTAGCTGTAATTATTTCTAGTACAGTACTGCTTATTAATCAGCTGCCATTTACTTCAGTAGTCCTCTGCTGACCCCATGAAATGGAGGCATCTTGGACTCATCCCTTCTAGGTTGCCCAGGCCATGGTATGGCCTGAGACTGATTTGCTATTCCCCCATTTCTGGTGTCCCAGATTCTAATAATGGTGTGTTTGGGGACAGGGAAAGGGTGAGAGGCACTGTGTGGTAATAATGTCCCCACCCCCTTTGTCACTTGCTCCAGGCTTGCCCGAGGTCCAGCCTAGCCCCTAGACACCATGTCAGACAGTGATCTGGGTGAGGATGAAGGCCTCCTCTCCCTGGCAGGCAAGAGGAAGCGCAGAGGGAACCTGCCCAAAGAGTCAGTGAAGATCCTCCGGGACTGGCTGTACTTGCACCGCTACAACGCCTACCCCTCAGAACAGGAGAAGCTGAGCCTTTCTGGACAGACCAACCTGTCAGTGCTGCAGGTAAGAAGCAAGTAGCAGGAGACCTGGGTTCTAGCCCTATCTAAGCCCTGTCACTGATGTACTCTGTGGCCATATGAGGAACCCCTCACCCCACCCTCCTCTCTCCCTGCCTCAAGGGAAGACAATGACAAGAAGTCATTGCAGCTAGATTTCAGATTTTGGAGAGTTCTGAAGTTAAATCTTGATGTCATTAACAGTGAAGGCCATAAAACATTGAGTGTTTGGGATTTGGCCTCCAGTCCCAGAGCAGTGTTTGGATAGTGACTTGGTTGTAGAAAGGCAGGTGGTGGTCTGCAATGTGGTTTAAAAAAATGAATTGGGATCACAGTCAAGGAAAGGGTAGAATTCAGAGGTTCTGGGGGTGCCTGGGTGGCTTAGTCGGTTAAGCGTCCGACTTTCGCTTAGGTCATGATCTCGCGGTTTGTGGGTTCGAGCCCCGCGTCGGGCTCTGTGCTGACTGCCAGCTCAGAGCCTGGAGCCTGTTTCAGTCTGTGACTCCCTTTCTCTCTGACCCTCCCCTGCTCACGCTGTCTCTCTCTCTCCTAGAAATAAATAAAACATTAAAAAAAAAAAAAGAATTCAGAGGTTCTGGATTCAAAACCCAGTCTGCCACACAGGAGCTGTGGACCACATCTTGATTTCTCCATCTGTAAAGTGGGGGTTAGAATCCTCCCCTGCCTGACTGAATTGTTATAAGGAAGGAGCAGATTCAGAATTGGCTGTGAAAGTGCTTTGAGGGCACCTGGCTGGCTCAGTCAGTGGAAATGCGACTCTTGATCTTGGGGTTGTGAGTCCGAGATTATACACCTTTAGTATAGATTATACATGTTGGCTATATTTTTATACTTAAAAATAAAATATTTGGGTGCCTGGGTGGCTCAGTTAGTTAAGCATCCAACTTCGGCTCAGGTCGTTGTGATCTCACAGCTCATGGGTTCAAGGCCCATATTGGGCTCTGCACTGACAGCTCAGAGCCTGAAGCCTGCTTTGGATTCTGGGTCTCCCTCTCTCTACACCTCCCCCACTTGCACTCTGTCTGTCTCTCTCTCTCAAAAACAAACATTAAAAAAAATTTTTTTTTAATAAAATCTTAAAAAAAGAAAATCTTAAAAAAAAAAAAAAAGATGCTCCTATTGGAGCATCTGGGTGGCTCAGTCGGTTAAGTATCTGACTCTTGGTTTTTGGCTCAGGTCATGATCTCACAGTTTCCTTGAGTTCGAGCCCCACATCATGCTTCCAGCTTCCAGTGCAGAGCCTGCTTAGGATTCTCTCACCCTCTCTCTCTGCCCCTCCCCCATTCAGACTGTCTCTGTCAGAATATATAAACTTTAAAAAGAGAGAAATAAAGTAAGTGCTTTGTAAGCCATGCACATGAGCATATCCAAAAATTGTGTTATCTACTTTTTGTCAGAGTGCAAGGTATTATCTCCTTTGAACTACCCCAACTGCTGATCTATAGGTGTTGCTCTGTTTTCATGGTGCTGAGGCAGGACACGCTGGACTACCACTACCATGCTTCCAGTTTGGCTCTCACCTACCTGAGAGACACAGAGCATGCCCTTAGCCTAGCAAAGGCCCACCCCCTACCCCACTGGACCCCAGTGCTCCCATCATGAGCCAGCTAAGCCTCACCCCAAGCCCCTCTGCCACCTGTTCCACCTCTGCCTTTCCCTAGCCTGTTACTTCCATCTATGATGATGTCTCTCCCTCCTTCCCTGACCCTACTTTGAACCTCCTATCTCTTCCCAGCTCCTCTTTCTCCTCCATGATGCCTCATGGTGAGTATTCAGCCCTTACAACTCCTGTCACCTGACTTTATACTTGCTGGAGTGGTTAACGGAACTCTGTCTTCAAGAAAGGCTCTAGAATTACAGACCCTGACTCAGATCCCATCTTCTTCACAAGAGGAAGGCTGGATATTGGCCAGTCCAGGCCTTCCCCTGAGCCCTATTTCCTCAGCTGAGAAAGGGAGATGATTGTTGGCACTTTCATAGCAAAAAGGAGGAGGAATGGAGAAGACAAATTCAAGGCTCACTGTGAGGTGAGCACACAGTGGGTGTTTCTGCTCTTTTTATCCTCATCTCTCCTAGATCACAGATCTTGGACTTATCCCATGTGTCTAATAGCAGTGCCTAGCATCTCATGGTGTACCACTGAATACTCCCAACTACAGTTGAGGTCCCAGAAAGGAACCAGACAAATCCCTACCGTCAAGGAGTATCTAGTCTAGGATGAGAAATTGAGGGAAGACCTAGCCATTGGTGTTTGCAAAAATGATCACTGCTGGGACAGAAGGCAGCAGAGAGACCCAGGCAGGGCTTCTAAGCCAGCCTGGAGCCTCAAAAGCCCTCCCAGAAGAGGTGGACTTGAACTACAAGATGTAGAACAATACAGGCCAAAGGCTGGGACCTGAGAACCAGGATTACTTAGATAGGCTCTTTGCTGTTCTTATGCCTCAAGCCTTTTTCCCTCAGTTCATTCTCACCTCTTTTTTTCTTTTTTAAGTTTATTGATTTTTGATAGAGACAGATATCTTGAGCAGGGAAGGGACAAAGAGAGTGGGAGAGAGAATCTCAAGGAGGCTTTACACTGTCAGCACAGACCCTGAGGCGGGCCTTGAACTCATGAAACAGTGAGATTATGACCTGAGCCGAAGTCTGACACTTAACCGACTGAGCCACCCAGGCACCCCATTAATTGGCTTTACAAATCATTTCATGATGTGGACATCTAACATCTAACAAGTAGAGAGAAGATGTTCCTTCAGCCCATTCTCTGGAATACAAAGGTACAAATCTGATTATGTCATACACTCCATGGATCCCCGTTGTCCTCTGGATAGAGTCCAAACTCAGGAGCTCATCAGCCTCATCTCTCAGTCCTTCCTTTCTCTGAGACTTGTGAACCTTCCGACCTCTGTGCCTTCCCCTGTGGCTTCTTCCTAACTTTTCTGAACTGGCTCACTCAATTTAACCATTTCCTCATGAGCATTCTTTGCCTGGCTTTGAGGCGACTGCTGTGTATTCCTGGTACACCTCATACCTGTGCTGTCAAACCACACATCATACTGTATTGAAATTGCTTTTTGTCAGGGACACTGTTTCTTATATCTGAGTAACATACCAGTTTCTTTTAAAGAAGTTTTTTTCATGGACCTGCTTCCCCCTACCATGTTGACTTGAAACATTTTTATTACCATATCATTTAAGCATGTACAAACATAAAACTGGGTTAAAAGAAAAAAAGCTTCTTGCTTTAACTCTTGTAAATTATAAAATAACCAGTTTTCCAAAGTAAATAAATATTAAACCAAAGAGATTTCATCTCACTGCATTAATGTAAAATGGTGGATGGGGATGGGGTTTTGCTGGCTGCGCTGTGGTGTTGTAGTATGACAAAGGCACAGACTCAAGAGTTGAGCAAGTCTGGATTGCCAGAGGCCACGGTGTTCCTGCTGGAGATCAGAATGGAAACATAAAAGTTAAACCTTCTTTTGAGAACTAATGGATCCTTTGGATGATATATCCCTGATCCCATTTAGAGAAATGTAGGTTTGGCACAAGGATTTGCTGCTGGAAACTTCTGAGGAAGGGCCCCTGGATCCTGGTGTGTTCTGGTGGAAAAGGTTCCGGTGGTGGCCTCCCTGCTCCAGAGTCAATGCTGAGAGTTAAGGAACAATGGGGACCATGTGGCCCTTGCTGGAAACTGTACCATGAATCCCAAATGGCCCCTATCCATACACCTCTGCTTGGAGGTCTTATAGGCACCTCCGATTTCTCAGTTGGATAACTTCTCAGTGGGTCCTACCCTTTCTAAGGGGTTCCCCTTTACTGCCCTTGCTAACAAGCTCATTTGGCCAGTCACCAATTCCTAAACATTCACGTCTTAAATATTTGTGGAATATGGCTTTCCTATCCTGGTCCAACCTGTCATTGTCTTACCACTTGACACTCCTCTATTTAAAACCCTTCAATGAGTCCTGCCAACCTAATGACGGTATCACCTGTCCTTATCTGCAGAGCGGGCCTCATCCCTGCCCCCATATTCATGCTACACTGATCAGTACCCCAGACCACTTTGTTCCCACTCCTGCCCAGGGAGACCCCCCCCCAACCCTCAAAGGAGCTGTGTGCTCCCACAGTAGCAGGACTGGGTCAGCATTTGGACAATGAACTGTAACTGCTTTTTAGAACACAGCAAACTCTAGAGGCCAAGTCTTATCACTGGATCCCAAGTGTTTAGCTCAACACCTGTACCTGGTAGGTATTTGGTAAATAATTGTTGAATTGACAGAAAATGAAGAAGTGCTGGAAATGTCAACAGGCAGGACCTCAAAAGTAAGGAAATGTAGTGGCTTCTCATTGGGGAAAAATTGCCTTAAATCCCTGGAGGCATCTCTTTTTCCTATATTTAATTTAAAAATTTTTGCTGTTTATTAAGAACATTTGCCAATATCCACAAAAGAGAATATTCTAATGCACTCCTAGTACCAATCACCTGGCTTCAACAAGCATCAGCATTTTGCCAAGCTTGTTTTCTCTCTCCCTGGGGACAGCTCTTTTGATTGTCTCCTTTAACTGGCCCAGGAGCAATCTCATTAGCAAGTCAATGAGTCATTTAACTAACTGGTTTGCTGGTACTGGCCTGGGGCTAGGCAATTGGGAGGGTAAGACCGGAAAAAAAAAAAAAAGTCATTTGTGAAGGGTTTTCACCAGTCCCTGTGACACCCTGTAAGCAAGCCCACTTTATTGCTGTGGTTTCTGACTGTTCCCAGGGGCCAGCTGCCTATTGCGGAGGGAAGGTAACCTGGCAGAGAGGGCTCAGGCCCCACTCTTTCACTCTCCTACTGATGGGGTTGTGCTGTGTGCTGGAAACTGTGGTAGAACAGGCACTATCCTTGCTCTTGGGTAGGGTTCCGTAGGGAGGGAAGACAATATTTAGTGGACTAAGAATTCAATTGCTCCCTTTTTTTCTGTCTTTTACAGTTGAAAAGAAATTAAAATTAAAGCACTTGTGTTGCCTTCTTCAAAGGCCGTCCTCTAATCCTCATGGCCTTCATCAGCTTCCTGGTCCCCCCCCCCCCACTCCCATTTGCCACAGTGATTCCTCCCACATTCTTCATCCCAGCCACTGATAAAAAAAAAAAAATACTGGCAGGGCAGCAGCCTTTCAGATAGGGCCTTGTTTTATGGTAGAGACAGGCTTTCAGGCACCCAGCCTGTGTTGTGCCGTATCAATGACAATTCACCTTGGCATTCTCCCTACCAACTCCCCAAGGACCTTGAGTGGGGGCAAGTCATATGCTCTTTTCCTGACTTGGGCATGGGTTGGGCAGCTGGAAGGGGCTACAGAAAATCCTGATCGCCTGCTCTCACAGCTGGCACTAGTGGTGCACTCAGGCCTCCTGCCCTTGCCCGGCCCCCCTCAGCTGTGCATTTCTATCGGATGAGAAGACAAAACAGACAGTGCACTGCCAAGTTTTCTGTGGACCAGGGCGAGCATGTGGAAAAGTATATGTGTAGGGGGATGTTTTTCTGCCCTTCGTTTCCCATAATTCCAAGCCAAAATAGGAGGCACAGCTAGGGGCTAGGTGCCCACACAGCTGCTAGTAAACGCCTAAACTCCCTTCCCCAAGACTGCTTTCTCAACAGAAATGCTCATCCCTACTTCACTTGACCCAGGTCATTGTGACCTGACCATGTCCCCTGCGTGCAGGGCTAAGGTGAGCAGGCACAAGTAGCAGGGAAGGCAGCTACAGGACAGAAATGGAAGCATCTGAGCAAGCAGAAACAGCTTCAGTCTCTTCACCTGGCAGTGGGGGTTGCCTGAAACAGAGTCCAGCCTTTGAATTGGTGACCTTAAGGAAGTTACTGAACCCCTCTGATCAGTGCCTCTGTTTACTGGTTCAAATAAAGTGATCATCACAGAACCTGTCTCATAAGCTGTAGATTAAATGAGTAATTAGATGGGAAATGTTCAGAACAGCACCTGATTGCTTTTAGGATTATGATCATGATTATTCATTATCTGTTCTGTTTGGTAAGACACAGCAAAGCACAGTAAGAACAGCAGTAGGGGCCCTAAAGCCAGGAGACCTGGGTTTGGATCTCAGCTCTACACTTGGAGCCTGTGTGACTTTGAGCAAGTTCTGTCATCTTTTAAGAGTTCAGTTCCCTCTTTAGTACTTAGGGACACTGCTTACTACCTTCCAGGCTTGTACATATGATTAAACATAACATAAGTGAGATGGCTGGCATGATACTTGGTATCAAAGGTGCTTAGTTCCTTTCCTTTGCCGCACCCAGCCATTCAGCCCTGCCTCTCTCTGGTGCTCCCCTGCAGCTGTAGAGCATTCAGGTCAGCCAGAGTCGCTGATGACTGGTGTTGTGTGTATGCTCAGATGTTCTGGGAAGACCATAGAGATGAAGAAGAGTGAATGAGAACCCCCCGGGCCAGGTTGCAGTGGAGAGGAAGAGTAGCCACAAGAAGGCTTTGGATCTGCCCTGACCAGGAGCTGTCCCAACCTGACAGGGCCAGGAGCCTAGTGACCCCTGCACCTGTGGAATGGGTACAGCTGCAGCCTGCTGGACAAGGAGCCATGCCAACTCCAGTCACCAGCTTCTGTCATAGGTGGTTGTCCCTTTGGCTGGGACAGAGTCAGATAGAGTCCACAGAAAGAAGGTACCCAGGGGCTTGTCCTGGGGATGAGCCAGGAAAGGTGATAGGCAGGGGTAGAAACTGGCACAGGAGCCCTAAGGAGAGCTGGGCCTTTGATCCATTCAGCAAACAGTAATGTTAGGCATTACTGCAGTCCACATAATTACCAATATTCCCGCGCATAGGAGGTAAGGGGGAGAGGGTTCCTGTCTTTGGCCCCTATAGCAGCTGGTACTTGCTTGGCATCTGTTGATAAACTGGGAGAAGAGATAAGGGCCAGGAGAGGGATCTACAGTGTGTAATGTAGGTCAGGCCACTCTTGAGGCCCTTTAGTGGTTTCCCTGGTGTTCAGGCTTAGTGGGGATCATACCTGCCTGCTTCTGTCAGTTCTACCCTGAGTTCTCAAAGACTAGATCGGGTCTTCCCATTATTGTCCCCACCACTGGACCTTCCCTTCATTAGCTCAGTCATAGTTGTAATTTTATATTCACTTGTACGATGACTTTAACTCTCACTTCCTAACATGAATGTGTTTGAGGGCTGAGATTGTGTCTCTCTTGCCTGCTTCTGTGTTCTGGGGCCAGGAGCATAGGTGCTTAGTAGCTGGTTTTGATTGAGTGAACTGACCACAATCTCTTATGCACATTCCAGATATGTAACTGGTTCATTAACGCCCGGCGGCGGCTTCTCCCAGACATGCTTCGGAAGGATGGCAAAGACCCCAACCAATTCACCATCTCTCGCCGTGGGGGTAAGGCCTCAGATGTGGCCCTGCCCCGTGGCAACAGCCCCTCAGTGCTGGCTGTATCTGTACCGGCCCCCACCAATGTGCTCTCCTTGTCCGTGTGTTCCATGCCGCTCCACCCAGGCCAGGGGGAAAAACCGGCAGCCCCCTTCCCACAAGGAGAGCTGGAGTCTCGTAAGCCCCTGGTGACCCCTGGCAACACACTCACCCTTCTGACCAGGGCTGAAGCTGGAAGCCCCACCGGTGGACTCTTCAACACACCACCGCCCACACCCCCAGAGCAGGACAAGGAGGACTTCAGTAGCTTCCAGCTGCTGGTGGAGGTGGCGCTACAGAGGGCTGCTGAGATGGAGCTTCAGAAGCAGCAGGACCCATCACCCCCCTTACTGCACACTCCTATCCCCTTAGTCTCTGAAAACCCCAAGTAGGCATCTGCCAGAAGGGGTGCTCGAGGCTCAAGCCAGCTATCCTGGGTTTCCGTTTTGGTTCCCTTTCATACAGAGGGTTTTCTTTGGATCACTGCCAAACATCGGGGTCATCTCCTCTGTCCAGAGGTCTTCAGCAGGGAGGTGCCAGCTGGCATCACCACACTGTGATGGGGACCTCTCTACTGACTGCCGTTTCTCCAGGCCTCCTCAGTGATGAGATTGAGATCGGAGACAGGCATGGTGCTGCTGCTGCTTCTCCAGAGAATCCCCAGGACACCTTTGTTCCAGCCTGCTCTCCTAGGCTGGGCACAGGAAACCTACTACATTCAGACATATGCCCCTGAGCTGGGCCTCTTTTTGTTAAGCCAGGTGTGGACATTCCAAGTTCCTAAGTGTGAACAAAAGAGAAGAGGGACCCAGAAGATGTAACAGAACTGACTCCAGTTGAATGTTTAGGTTTTGACTAAACTTTGTGTTTATTTTTCCCTTTTTGCTGGGGTTTGCATTAATGGAGTAGTTAGCCCAGGTGTGGGGGTGAAGGTGTTGTGTGATGGAGTCTGATGAACTGAGAACCATGCACCACTGCAACTGGTGTTTTACAAGGAAGGAGTATTTTTATTTTGGGGACCAGCTAAATCTCTAAATTCCAAAAGGTTGTTTTATTGTTGGTTTGGAAAAAAAGAAAAAAGGAAAAAAAAAACTTCTGGGGCTTTGGCTTTTCTGCATCAGGCACAGAAGGGAATAAAGCCTTCTTAAGTATAAAGAGAGGGTCCAACAGAGAATCTGACCAAACCTTCTAAGCACAGAGCAGAGAAGGATGATAAAACCAGAGAGGTGGTTTTTGTTTTTCTTTTTGTTTTTCTTTTTTACTATATTTTGGGGAATGGGGGAAGTAAGCTAGAACCGAGGCAGTGGGTTTTTGGGGTTGTTTTTTTTTTCCTCTTTAACGTTTTTACCTTCTTTATCCTTGAAAGCTTCGCCCTGCAGCCTGAATTTTGAATGCCTTTAAGAACTTGGATTAGTGGGACCAGAATGTCAAAAGCTCCCAGTAGCTCCTACTTGGAGAGAAGTGAGCCATCTACTGGTCAGGAAGCCCTGTAGCTGACTCAAATGGGCAGCTTTTCCCACGATGCTGGCAAGAAACTATTCCTGGAAGAAGCAGGGAATGGTGCCCTCAGCTGCTGAGGAACTGCCTTTTAAGGAGGCTGGGGCTGGAAATTGCTTGTGAAGCCTGTTCACTGTGTCTTTGTGTTGCACCTTTCTTTAAATTGGAGTTGCAGAGGCCTCTGCCCCGAACTTCACAGTGAAACAAATCATACTTGGTCTTATTCTTCTCCCTCCTCCCTATTTTTTATTTTGCTGTCTCATTGCTGACAAGCATTCAACAGCAATATGCCCCATTTTTTTATATATCCTAAGAAACACTAATCCTAGGTTATTATTAGCCAAAATATTTTTGTTCCGAATAACATTGTTACTGGGCCAAAAGACTGGTCAGGAGCCCCCAGCCTGTAGTTTCCTGAAGTTGCCAAGTCAGACACAAGGGGGAGATTCCTGGGGAGTGACTGACTTGGGTGGACCTGGCCAGAAGAAAGGCAACAACATGTGTTCTGTCCTTTCTGGGATTATCCCTGAACTTTTCAGGGAGGCTACCCAACTTCTCAGTGGCTTGGCCTACCCATTGCTCTGGGAATGGGGATTGGTTATTTAAGGAGACAGAACTTTGCTCTCTGTGAGTGGGCAAGTTTCCTAAGCTCTCTCTTTTGTCACCCCACCCCCTCCTTGCATGTCCCAGGGGGATCAGGGATCCTCACCCTCCTGAGGCCCAGCTGGAGAAAAAAGAACATAGCAGCTTCAAGATAGTTGAAGCTGCTGTTTGCCCAGCCTCTTCCACCCCACCCATGTCTGTGAGCCCAGGTCTGGTGTGACTATTGGAAGATGCTTGTGGCAAGGGACCCTGGAAGTGTGTTGGGCTGGGGTGGTGCACTGAGCAGTAGAGGTGGTGAGGGGTGAGGGAGCCATGCTGCTGAATTCTGGTTGGCATTCCCCCCTTGTGCAAGATGGGGAGGCTGGGGGTGGGGCAGCCTCAGCTTGGTTCAGTTGTGAGATAAATCTGGAGGAGAAGCACAGTTATCCCGTTGAATTATTTGAGCAAAAAACTACTGTAAATAACTTTGGTTTTTGTCTTTTGTCAAATAAAGTTTGTTTTTGGTTTTTGTTTTGTTTTTTAAAGCAGAAACAGATTGACCCACCATGACCCTGGGCCCAACCTGGAGATGGGGGAATTGCTGAGTCCTTACTGGGCCTTATGGCTTTTCCTTCCCTCTAGTAACTGCCTAAAAGTGTTGTATGCCCTACATCTTATTTCCTTGGCTTCAGTCCTGGTCCATATCCCATTCACTACAGTGTGCAGGGGGCATATGCATCCCAGGCTGAACCGTCTTCCTGGAATAAATAGGCTTTGGGGTTGGTAAGTGGTGAGGGAACTTAGGGAGCCAGCAACTTTATCCTCCCTCTCAACCAGTGAGGAAAGCCCAGGAGTGCAGTATGATGCCAGCACAGAAAGAAGCAGAGATGAAATGGATGCTGTAGTGCTGTCTGAAACTGGTACCACTTCTGGACTTCCTATTATGTAAGCTACTAAATTCCCCTTTTTTGCTTAAGCTAGCTGTAGGTTTCATTTATTTCATAATGAAATGACTGTACACTTAATTGCAGCCCAAATGGTGCTAAATCAAGGACTGCAACCATAAACGATCGTTGTGCCTGGTCCTAAATGGTGTTCACAGTGTTCATTACCACTTTAATTTTTGTATACACACAAAAGAAGTGAGGTGCCCTTTGCAGAGGTAAAGAAACCGGGGGTTGGTTAAGTTACATGCCTGAACTGTATTTATACAGCCAGTATTAAATGGCGCTAGGATCTGAATTCAAGTCTGTCTTGCTTGAATGTAACCCTGGCATCTGCCTGGACTTTATTTGAACTAGTGATAGGCAGTTCACTGCCTATGGCTTTCAACTAACATGGTTTGGGCTAAGCACTAGAAATGTCGTCTACGGAACCAAATCAGCTTCTTCCTGATTCCAGTAGACCTAGATGGAGGATGCTGAATCTCCCACACATCACTCTCCTTTTGAAATTTGGAGATGATGCCTCCCCATTCATGATCCCCATATTAAAGAGCCCCAGCTCAAGAGTTTATCCATTCATCCAAAATCCTGGTTTTCCACTTCTTCTGCCGGTGTCCCTCAAACTGGACACTTGGCCCTAGGGGTTGGCAGAATAGGAACATGCTGGAGTACTCTTCAAAATAAATATTTTCATCTGGAAAATGAATATGAATATTCCCCTAAAAGGGGGAGTGGATAGTTTGGCTGCCTTAGGAGAGATGGCTTCTTACAAATACTTTTCGTTTTCAAAGAACTGAAACCAAAAGCGCATTGTACTTCAAGCTTCAAATTGATGAACCCTGGAGTAAGCAAGCACTAGAGAAAGCTGACAGGAACAATATGGCTAGGACCCTTCTCTGAAGCTAGATGTGTTATCTAAAGACATCTACCTTTCCTGTAATAGTCCCACTTAGGGAACAGCTTTAAATGCATTTTTGAGGTGGTGGGTGCACCTTGGTGGCTCGGTTGAGCATCCAACTCTTGACTGTGGCTCAGGTCATGATCTCATGATTCCTAAATTCAAGCCCTGTGTCAGGCTCTGCACTAGAGAATCATTTAGGATTTTCTCTTGCCCTCTCTCTGCCTCTCCAGCTCATGTGCACAGGCGCATAATCTCTCTCTCAAATAAACTCAAAAACTAGATAAATAAGTGCATTTCGGGGGGTACCTGGCTGGCTCAGTCAGTGGAGAATGTGACTTGATCTTGGAGTCATGAGTTCTAGCCCTATGTTGGTAAGATTACTAAAAATAATAATAAAAAATTAAAAGTACACTCTAGAAACTGCTAATGGGAAAACCCCAGAGGGGAGGGGCTTAGCCTACCTTGGTGTGCTGTAACCTCACTATGTTAGCCACTGGAGCTATAGAGAATAAGGTCTGGAACTCAGCAGGAATGCAGAAATAATCATCATCACTTCTCTCACTGTTAACTGGTTTCCAAGGTACGTCTCTATAATCTAAACCTGCATTCAAATTCTGGCTCTGTCACCTAACTAGGTGTCATGATCATAGGCCTCAGTTTACCACTCACAGACTTCAGTTTCCGCCATCATAAAATGGGCATAGTAATAACCTCTTAGGAGGATGAACTAGGATAATCCATATTTGGGGAGGGAGTTAAATATTTATTTTTTTTCAATGTTTATCTTTGAGAGACAAAGCATGAGTGGGGGAGGGGCAGAGAGAGAGGGAGACAATCCGAAGCAGGCTCCAGGCCAGCTATCAGCACAGAGCCTGATGCAGGGCTCAAACTCATGAACCATGAGATCACAGACCTAAGCTGAAGTCAGACGCTTAACTGACTGAGCCACCCAGACACCCCAAGATTTTATTTTTTCAAGTAATCCCTACACCCAAAGTGGAGCTCAAACTCAACCCTGAGATCAAGAGTGGCATATTCCACCTACTGAGCCAGTCAGGCACCCCCCCCAAGAGAATCCATGTTTTTGTTATTTGTATATTGTTATTATTTGGCCTTTCAGCACAGGGCTGAGAGTGAAACAGAAGTATGAAAATAACTTGACTCGTACCACCCACCTTTTTTAAGTGGCAGAACTGGGGGTGCTTGGGTGGCTCAGTTGATTAAGCATTCGACTCTTGTTTTCAGCTCAGGTCTTGATTTCAGGGTGGTGAGTTCAAGCCTCACGCTGGGCTCTATGCTAGACATGAATACTACTTAAAAAAAAAAAAAGTGGCAGAACTGGAACAAAGTATCCAGAGAAGTAATTCTCAAGCCTTAGTATGTATGAAGATCATCACAGCCATTCTGTCAGAAAAGCTTACAAAAATGCAAATTCCCAGACCTCACCCCCAGAGAGTCTAGGAATCTGTACTCTTCACTTATGCCACAGGAGAGTCTCATGCTATTGCTCCAGAAACCTGATCGTTTATCATCAGGACACTGACTTATTCCAAGGAAGCTGCTAGGTTCCTTATCTTTCAAAGTTATGTGAGAAAAAGGGTACCATCAAGTAGTTCCCCCACCCCAACGATTTTA